GGAGAAATGCCCTCCACAGCATGTGTGACCAGAGCTGTGAAGAAGAACCTAGCACTCAGGGCAAAGTGAGGAATGGGGTGGGGGTGGGGCTGCACACAGAGGACAGTTTGCCCTGCTTGACTACGGTGCAGTTTTGTCATGATTCCCCTGGGAGATGACAAAGGGAGATGCTCTGATTCTGCAGTTATACACCGGGCACAAGAGAATGGGAGGGAAAGGGGCTGGGGTACAGAAGAATTTGTCCCAATAGGTGAACTCCTGATGGGTGACCCTTTGGCACTAGCAAGGGAAGGGGATTATTAAGGCTGGACGAGAACAAATGAGTTTGGTCACCCAATCCAATCAGGATTGTTCTATTCAGACCTGTCATTGGGACTGGCTGCCTTGTATCTGCATAGGATTTCTATGGCTGGGGGCAGGGAGGAAATGATTCAGTGAAACCTAGCTGGGAAGATTGAATGGACCTCCAGGAAATTGTACTCCTTGGAGAGATGGCAAAGAAAATGTGGGAGACTTTGTGGTCCAAATTAGGAGATCAAGAACATTCCTTTAAGGAGAGAAGGATCAGCAAGATGATGGGTACCACCCATGATACTGGGATACTGTGGATGAAAATGAACTTGATTCCCTCACAGAATCAAAGCCCCTCCCACTGGAAGGGAACTCGAAGGACATTGAGAAGCATCCTGGCGTAGTGGATGGAGGACTGGATTTGGAGTCCCAATGATCTGGATTAAAATCCTACCTACAACGTAAAATAACTGCTGAGGACTTGACTACAGCCCTTCCTCTGTGACCATGGATGTAATCAGTTAATCACGTTGAACTTCACTTTCTAATCTGTAAAATTGGAACGACAAGACCTATCTGTATTGCCTATGTCACAGGAGGATTATGATTCCTCAAAGGAAATAATCCTTGTAAAGGGCTTTCCAACCCTTAATGTGCTCTATGCATACTGGTTATTATCAGTAGTAGAGTGTAAACTCCCTGAGGTCAGAGCCTGGTTTTCACTTCATCTCTGTATCCCCAGTCACCTAGCAAAATGCCTTGTATGTAAACAAACCTAAAAAATGATCGACTTCTTGCTATAGTTAATACTGATGTCAACTGTACTCTGCCACCAAGGGGTTTACAGTCTAGTGTGGGAATGAGATGCACATGAGATGCTCTATAATCACATCACATTGACCCTTAGGTGTGGAATGGGCTCCCTCCCTCCTGCCCCATCTCCTCTTTCAAAGTCCAGTTCAAGCAGTATCTCTACCCCGGTCTCCAAAGGGAAGTAGAAGGATTGTGAGATATTGAGGTCTAGGGCCTAGGGCTGAATTCAGACTCTGCTACTGTGTGATGCTAAGGAAAGTCACTGGATCTCCTGGAGCCTCCTTTTCCTTCCTTTAAAATCTCTAAGCCCCTTCTAGCTCTCTGCCTAAATCCTATTAGCCTTCCTCAGTTTTCCACAGCTTTTGAGATAAGGTTTTAGTTGGATTCCTTTTCTCTCCCTTCTCTCAGGCTGCCATCTTCCTTCCCTGACTATTCTCTGCTCTGCCTTCTCCCTTGCCAGTCTTTTCATTTCTCATCCTTAGATCCCCCTTCTCCCCATCTCCTTTTCTTAATACCTCTATCCCTCTTCTCTATAAAGTTTCTCCTTGCTCTCCCCCCTCCCCCCCCTCCACAGCTTGTGCCTTTTGGTGGTGATGCTCATGGGGATGGGAGGGCTAGTGACGGACAGACAAATAGCCTGGTTTGGAAGGGGAGGGGAAGAAGGAAGGACAAAGAGTTCCATTGCTTTTCCTTTCTGGGTGGCTCCTTGTCTAGTGCAGGCCTTATGAGTCTGCTTATTTAAATCTGTTTTCTGCCTTGGGGGAAGGGGTGGGGATCAGTTTATCTTAGGCGGGTGGAAGAAACAAAAAGGTATTTGAGACTCCGGGCTACTCTTTGAAGGGGAGCCCAGAAGGCCAGATCCGACTAACTGGTTTCCTGGTGTCAAGGTCCGAGGGGAGCTGGCCTCCTCCTCTCTGGCTTCTCCGCTTGCCTTTGTACTTTCTTGTTAAGTTAACTGTTGTAAAAGTGGTCACAGCAGAATGACCAGCCAGAGGGCCGAAAGGTTCCTCTGTGAGCCTGCTTTTCTGACACAGCAAAGCTGGTCTCAGGGGACGGTAAGTCTGGAATGCCAGACAGTGTGGTCTAATAGCAAGAGCCGTGGATTTGGAGTCAGAGAATTTGGGTAATAATCCTATCTCTGGGGCTTCCTATCTGTGTGACCTTGGGCAAATCACTCAAACTCAGCATCCTCAGTCCTCATTTGTTAACCGAGAGGGTTGAACCAGATGACTCACGAGGCCCTTTCCAGTGCAAAATCCTACGAATTCCTTCCTGCAATCCAGACCAGTCTTCTTCTGGCTTGGGTAAATCAGATGGCACATGTCTGAGTATTAGTGTGCACATGACCTGTGGGTGCTTTTGATCAATATGTTGAGGTTCAGAGGTTTAGGGGTGCTGAGACCCCACAATCACAACATGCAGGTCCTGCCCGAATAAATTTGACCCAAGCCTTCTTTCAGCCAGAGACAAGGTTTATTAAAGATCGGCCATATTGGCCAGACTCTTAAAGAATCTGAACATTTGTGAGCCCTTGGTTAGACTCTTAAAGAATTCAAGCACCTTAATGGAGACAAGATGGACCTTCTATCCAGAAAGACTGTGGGAGGGATCTAGGGAGGATCTTGATGGGAGTGACTGGGAGGTCCACAATGGGGTCTAGATAGGGTTGGAGGCCTGGGAATAGAGAATTGGGAGATTGGGCATAGGCAAAAATGAAAGGACAATTGATGAGATTATGACTTCAGGCGAAATCCAGAGATTTTTGACCATGTGGAAGAGTCTAGGGTTTTTCCTTTCTGGGGTCCAGATCCCAAAGACATGATATTTTCCTTTTAGGGGTTTAGATCCCATCCCCATCAAATCAATCAAAAAGTATTCCTTAAATGCCAGCACTTAGCACAGTGCCTGGCACATAGTAGGTATTTAATAAATGTTTATTGATTGATGAAGTGCCTACTATGTGCTAGGCACTGAGGATACGGAGACAAAAATGAAAAATTCCCTGCCTCAAAGACTGTGTATTCTATGGGGAGACAATACACACACACACACACACACACACACACACACACACACACTTATACATAAATATATACGAGGTAATTTTTAAAGTATATACAAAAAGTATAGAAATAGTACACAGAAGCAAATACAAGGTTATTCTGCACTGTGTATGTGCATTCTATGTACATGGATATTAGTGAGGGTAGATGTGTTTGTATGTATACGTAAAGGAGTCATCTTTGTGCAAATATATGTGTAGCTCTGTATGCATGTCCATTTTGCTCATGGATCATTTGTATAGATGTGTCCGTGTTCTTTTCTAGTAAAACGTTGGCATTAATATGATATATCCGCGAAAGCATTTGGATCATAAGATCTTAAATTTAGACCTGGAAGGTGTAAACAGGATTTTACTGAGCCAGTCTCTGACGAAGCAGCAGGCCAGAGGCAAAGTGCCAGTAATCAGGTAGCCATTTAAGTAATTAGTTTAATTATGAGGAGCAGATTTGCAAATTGGGAATTCTCCCGATCAGAATTCCACCTCACTGAAGTGAAGATTATATACATTACTCACAAGTGAGGAAGGAGGAGGGGGAAGGTGGATTACAAACAATCATTTCTAGGGCCAGAGTGGTTTCCCGGGACAAACCCACAAATGGAAGACAATACAACAATTCTGGAGTCCTGTGGGAGCATTATTGCTCGAGTCCTTAGGGGTAATTACTTGGTGGGTCACAAGACCAGAGTTCTGGGACAGGGAACAGGTTCTCCAGACTTTGATTTGCTTTACTTCAGGTACGCAAGTAGAAGGGTGCCAGGGATTGTGAGCCTTGTCAAGGTTTGATTGATCAGTTCAAACTGCATCGTGAGTCTGACTCACAATGGAAAAGGCAATTCTGGAAAATCTAATTTATTAGTATATTTATTACACTTACCATATCAATTAATATGAAAATTATAAATTCCTTCTCAAAGGCATTTTAGCAATCATCTTTCTGACCCCTTCATTTTACAGAGCAGGAAACTGAGTCTCAGAGACTTAAAGGGGTTTGCCCAGGATGGCACAACTGGAATGTCAGAGCCAGGTTGGGAATCCCACCTACTCCAAGTTAATTCCCCTCTTTTTTCCACTACAATTGTGTCTCCCATTTCCCCTTGACTGTTGAGAGAGGGGAGAGTGGGGCCATCTCCCTCATGGCTTTAGCCCCCTAAAGTTCCCCTAGACGGCTGACCTCCTGCCCTGCTCCCTTCCCCTCCTTACCCCAGAGACCAATTTAACTCGATTTCCCTTTCCTGCCCCTTGTCCTGGGCCTTTCACAATAAGCCGGAGGTGCTTAAGGAAGGCAGCCCCAAAGCAGGTCTAGGTTGCACACCCTAAGGGAGGTGGCGAAGGAGGGGGAGCTTGGAGGGCAGAGGCTGGACTCAACTCTAAACCCGCCTTAAGTTATTGTAATCACTTCACTTCCAGTCCCGACTGGCTTTCTCCCTGGGGTTGGGGGTGTGGGTGAGTATGTGGGTGTGCGTGCGCACGTAGTGGGACAGGGGTTCAGCTCCGGGTTTTGTTTCAAAGAGCTGTGGGAGCCCTGCAGATTTCCCTTTGGAAGTCATCCCCATGGAGAGGGAATGATGGGCAGATGCGCCAGGGGGGCGCCTGTACCGGGGCTATTCCCAGCTCAGGCTAGGAGAGCGGACTCTTCCTACCTCTCCCCCGGAGGGCACCCTTGCTTCCAGGACGCTGGCTTCTGACAAACAAGAGAGTTTTTGTTGTCTTTTGTTTGCCTGCACATTTTTTTTAAGACAACAAAGAGATTTTTGCTTTCTTTCCAAAACCCCTTTTAATTTTTTGTTTTTTTACTTTGTGTCTGGGGTCAAAAGGAAAATCGCCTGAGAAGATGTCATCCTTGGCATCAGCAAATCAGAGCTCCGGGGAGCCGGAGGATTATTCCTACGGGAACTGGTACATTGATGAACCGACCTCAGGAGGAGAGGCATCTCAACCAGACAAGTAAGTTTGGAAATTCCCTTCCTGGCTTCCTAGATTTGCGTTCCAATAGTTCCTCTGGTTGGGGTTAAGTGGCGGCCAGAAAAGAGTCTGCCTGAGAGTTAGGAGTTCTAGCTCCAGCTAGGCAACTGAATTGACTAGGCGACCTTGAGCAAGTCACTTACTTTCCCTGGGTTTCGACTTTCCCAGCTATAAAATAGACTTTTTTTAAAAAAAATTTCTTGTCTGCCTATCTCGTAAGGGCTGGTTATAAATGATGAAAAAGTGCTTTGCAAAGTGTAAAAAGCCTTGCTGAATAGTAAGTAATGAGAATACCCCCAACCAGTGTTTTCTGTTATCCCTAGAGACCTTTTATTCAAAGAGCACCCTCCCCCCCCCATTATAATCCTCTAAATCCTGGGCCTGAAGGCAGGAGAGCTCTGTTTAGTCTCAGCTCTTATTCTCTTTATGATGGGGTAAATTGCCTCTTCTCTCTGAGTCTCAGTTTTATCTTCCTTAAATGGGAGTGCTGAAATCCGAGTCAGGTTAAAATCCCTATACAATCTATCATATATATAAGATCTCTACTATCTGTATGACCTGGAGAAAATCACTTCACCTCAGGGCCTCAGTTTCCTCAACTATAAAATAAGGGATTTGGACCCTATGATCCCCAAGGTCCCTAGTATCCCTTCCAACTCTGACAGTCTATGTAGAAAAAGTTTTGGTCCATGTAGAGAACTCTATTGCGTAATGTCGGGTTAGCTGTTAAGAAGGAGAAGGGAGATCTATGAAACAGTCTTGGAAGCAGAAATAAGTCATTCTGGAAACAATGATATTTTTATTTGGGGAGTTGCTTCCTTGGGTGTTGGCATTATTCCGGGTTGACAGTCTTCTAATATGTAAATGAAATAGTTTTGTTACTTGTCTGAGAGCTAGATGGAGCAGAGAAAGGTAGAAGCAGCCATGTAGAGGAATCCTCAGCCTTGGCCATGTTTGTCTTTGCTCTGAAACTTTGATGTCACTGTTTAGACCAGTGTGTCTGAAGAGTGAGAGATGCATTAGACAAATCATCTCTGCTGAGACAGGTCTCAAAGTAGGGTTCTTGTTCCCTTCCCATTCTTTTTCCCCACAACCAGCCTCCTGCCAAGGTCTGGCCCCATCCCCACATCACAAATCTGTTTTATGGGGTAGGAAACAGCAAAGGTAAGGTGAGGGAATCAGAGAGCCAGCTGTACTCACATCTGCTTCACATCAGCTTGAACCGTAGAAACTAGAGATGGAAAAAAAAAAAACCACAACAACAACTAGTGAGTGTTACTCCCTGGGGCCTCAGGACTGGATTATTCAGGCAAGAGAGATTATCCTCTGCTGGTTATGGGAAAGGTTCTGTAGCTCCAGAAGGCTCCAGTCATACTGCTTACTGGTGGGGGCAGAGGAAAGGTTGGAAATATAATGGTGGCCAGCTATTCATAAATAGGACTTTGTGCCATTCGATACCTCCTCCCCTCTTCTGCACTAGCTAGAATGCAGTGAGAATTGTGGTGTTTTTGGGATAAAGAGAGGAAATGAATCATTTGGGTCAGAGTACCTTTTGGGAAGAAGCTAAATGGGGAAGGAGAACGGGGGATGGAGAGAATGAATGAAGGAGAGGGTAGAATCTGGGAATAGAAGATGAGAGAGAGAGAAAAAAAAAAAACATTTTAGGGACAGGAACCTCATCACTACAGGGCAGGGATTTCCCAAAGCTTAATCTAGTGCTGTCTTGGGTCCTAGATTAGGACACTAAACAAAGAAGGTGCCTGTTTCCAATCTCTTGCTGTCTGACCACATGATTTCAGTGGAGATATTACATCACCCATAATTAGGATCTGAGGAGACTTCTGTCTCTTTTCTTGGGCCGCTTGGGTAAGTGGAAGGGCCTCTATAGAATAGAGTTTTTAATCCAATCTCTGCTACTAACTCAGTGAGAGACTTTGGGTAAATCACAAGCCTTTGTTTCCCTATGGGTTGGCAACAATACTGTATAGGGAGCCACCCTCAATGCCAGGGCTAAGTATCCATGCGATGTCCCGGGCCCGGGGGGGGGGGGGGGGGGGGTTGGCTCGGCGGTTATACTTTGTGGAGGGAGAGCAAAACAAAAGGGAGCCAGAACAAAAGGCTCATCCTTCAGTTTGATCTGGGTATCAAGGAGTTAACTCTGGCCAGGCTCCTCCTGGCTTCTACTTTGGTAATCCATCAATGCCCCAAATGGACCTGTGATATCTACCATATGGGCTTTCATTCCATTGATGTCCGTAGCAATCCACATACGTCTCCTCATCCCTCCATAATGTTTGTCCATGAACACAAATCCTCTGCAGAAGAGCTCTGCCATCCCCACCCCCACCCTCTGGAATGCTCTAGGATTCTATGTTCTTCTATGTTCTAGGATCATAGGATGCAGAATTGTAGGGGACCTTAGAGACCATCTACTCCGACCCCTTCATTTTGAAGATGAGAAACCTAGAGCTGTTGAGTGACTTGTCTAAAGTCACACAGGTACTAAGTAACAAAGTCAGGATTTGAACTCAGACTAGGATTCTTTCCCCTGTACCACATCTGGCTATCAATGAAGCTGAATCAAGAAAATTTGGTCAAGACTGTGACTGGAACCGTTGGATGGGTGTTGTTGGGTATTGTGTATGTAGGGATCACAAATGTGACAGAGTGGGTGTTTCTAGTATTCTTAAGCATTCCCTGAAAGGTATGCATCACCACTCAATAATAGTCTAATGCTGAGGTCATGAGCAGAGTCTAATCCCTTTGCCAACTTTCCAACATTCAGAAACCCCCTGATGCTCTCGGGAAGAGGCTGGTATCCTGCGGGCTTGACCCCTGTGTGACTTCTCTTTTTGAGAAGAAATTCCAGATGAGTCAGACAGGTAGACACTGACTAAAGCCGTCAAGAAGATCAAGACAGTGGCAACGAAAGGCAGCGTTTACGTTTGCTATTCACATCCATTACCACTTCTGATCTTTACCATGACCCTGTGAGCTTATGCAACCCATTTTTGCAAATGAAACTGAGCCCCAGAGAAGTGAAATGAAGTTTGTTTAACCTTTCTTTGCATCATCAGTACTTTAGCACAGTAGCTGGCACATAGTAGGAGCTTTGTTGACTGGCTGCTAGTTAATGGTAGAACTAGGACTCTAACCCTGGTCTTCTGACTGTTAAGTCCCACATTTATTCCACTACACAAAGATGGCCCTGATAGTGATGACAGATGATAAAAGAGGATTGGTGGGGACCAGAGCTCCACAGCCTCTTTGAGGCTTGAAGGCAGCAGTGGTGAACCATGGGCTCTGGAGCATATTCTGTTACAAAAATAATGCATGATGTTGGCCAGATCTTTGGGTTACATTGGACTTATGTTGTATAGAGGGAATGTGGCTCGAAACAATGAATCACTGGCCTGGGACTAGGATATTTTGTGGTTGCAAGGAGACTTTTATTGTAATGATATTGGACCCTTGGGAATCAGCTTCCATCACTACTCTTTCTTCTCTTCCAGCTTGAAGGGGGGTAATGTACGGGTTTCTTTTTTTTGTTGGGAGGCTTCACAAGTGACCTGGGGCCCTTTGGTACAGTTAAGGGGGCCTAACTGACAATCAGAAGGCCTGACCTCCTCAACACCTTTCCCACATACACCAGGAGGGCTACGATCCAGTGACACTGGCTTCTTTGCTGTTCCTCATACAGGACACTCCATGTCCCAGCTCAGCATGTTCATCAGCTGTCCCCCATGCTTAGGATATTTCCTTCTTCTTCTCTGACTTCTGACTTACCTGGTTTCCTTCAGGTCTCAGCTAACATCTCAACTTCTGAAAAAAGTCTTTCTTGATCCCCCTTAATCTAAATCATTCCTCTGAGATTATTCAGCCTGCCTTTATCCTGTTTTTATGTCATTGTTTGTAGGTTGCCTCCCCCATTAGACTGTGAACTCCCTGAGAGAGGAGATTTTCCCTCTTTGCCTTCCTTTGTATCCCCAGCACTTTAGCCCAGCATCTGGCACATAGTAGGAGCTTAATAAATGTGTATTGATTGACTGCCTGAATGACTGGTTCTGCTCCTGGCTGTATACTGCCTATAACAAAGTGACCTTGGGCACCATCATCAGAAGGCAACGTAAATCTTTGTGCCTGTTTCTCCAGTTATATAGTTTAACATTTCTCTAACATATTTAGGTCATAGTTGATTCTCACAAAAAACTATCAAAATAGGGAAGGATTACTACTCCCCCAGCATTCATAGAATCATAGGACCATAAGCTAGAAGGGACTTTAGAGATCATCAAGTGATTAGTTATAGATTAGTTAATTAATACAGTAAATTACAGATTAGTAAACTGAGGCCCAGAAAAGTGAAATGATCTGCCTAGGGTTATACAAATAGTAAGTGGCAAATCTAGGATTCAAACCCAGGTCTTCTGATTCTACATTCTTCCTTGTCTACCTTGTTTGGTAACTATTCTTTGTGCATTGGTTTATAGATATTATTTCTTTTAGAAATGGCCATAGCATTTAAGAAGTCTTTCTTTGTATTTTATTTCTCAATTAGCAAGCATTTATTTTTCTCTTGCCCTACTCCTCATTTTAAAGACAAAATCCTTGTAACAAACATCTATAGTCAAGCAAAACAAATTCCCACATGGTCCATGTCCGAAAATGTATGTCTTGTAGTTCTGTATGTATGTCTGTAGTTCTATACCCTGAATCCATCACCTCTCTGTCCAGAATGGGTATCAGAGTTCATCACCAATCCTCTGGAGTCATGCTTAGTTACTGTACTGGTCAGAGTTCTGAAGTCTATCAAAGTTGTTTGTCTTTACAATGTGGTTTTTATTCTAAAACTTGTTTTCCTGACCTAACACATGTCTTCTCTCTCTCTCTCTCTCTCTCTCTCTCTCTCTCACCCCTCTCTCCTCTCTCCTCTCTCCTCTCTCCTCTCTCTCTCTTCTCTCTCTTCTCTCTCCTCTCTCTCT